TGAAAATAATAGAATGTTTTTGTTTTAATTTTTCAAACTGTCCATAATTGACACATGTCCCACCTAAATTTGAGCCTAGATGTATGACATGATTGATTGTAGTTTAGTGGCAGCTAACAAAAATTCTAACCTATAGATCTTAGTTTTACTCTTGCCTTTCAATTTTTTTTTTTTTTTTTAATAGAACCTGAAATTTTACAAAGTATGACCCATGGCATATATGATAATTTAAGAAGTTGTTGGATCTATTATTGTATTTTCAAAAAGTTTTGGGATCTAAGTGCAAATTAACAAAAATATCATGTTAATTGAGAATATTATCTGAGTGTAAATAATTCAGAAATTATTACTTGTAAAAAGTCGAATTTTGAGTAATCTAACGAATTCTAGAAAGTTTAGCAATTAAAATGAAAATTATTGGAAAGTTAAAGAATAATGATTTTAACTCTTTAGAATGTAGCATTGATGTTTACTAATTAAAATACTAGATTTTAAGAGCTTAAACACAAGATCGAGCCCTAAATGCAAAATTTGCAAAGTTTAAGGACTAAATTACAATGATGAGAAATATATTTTTAGACAAGAGCATGACAAGTCAAGATTATTCACTGATGAGAAGGATCAACAGATGGTCAAGTTATTATTTAAGCACTTTACGATACTTTTGAAATGTTGAGGGACTAAACTGAAAATAAGTTTTGAAGTTAATAATTTATTTGCGCCAAATGTAAATTTATTGAAGGTGTGAGAGTTACCCGTCAATATTGAACTCATCTGAAGCTTAATATTAAATGGTGCATAATGGACTCGGAAAAAGTTAATTTAAACAAGTCAAATTCGAATTATAGTTCATTAAAGTAAATTAATTTGTGGGAATATTAATTCCCAAATTAGAACAAATTATCATAGCAATATTGGGCTCATCGATAACTCATAATTAATTATGTAGATTAGACTCGAAAAAATTATTTTAAATAAGCTAGAACTTAATGAAAGCCGATCCGAAGAAACTATGGTTAAAATAATTTTTTTAGGTAACTAATTACCATTAATTGGTAAAGTTTTGGCTAAGAAATAAGTATTGAGAATGTGTTAGTAATCGTTAATTAAGAAATAATTATATTAACCTTAAATTCTAACCACACCCAAACATTTGAAAAGGAATCACATGCAGAGACTTTTCCCATCTCATGTTTTCTGTATATCAAGTCCCTTATATGGATAAAAATTAGATTTATTTATTTATTTATTTTGAATTAATCTATTTGTACACTGTTATTATACATAATTGTTTACATCTCCCTTAAATGGAGGGAGGCCCACATATAATAAATTATGCCTCCGTTTGGCCCCCTTTCTTTTAATTTTTAATGTTTGAAATAATGTTTTCTTCAAAATTGTGTGGTTGAAAGAGAATGAAATAATTTTGATTTATGCGTAATATTATTTTAAAGAAGAATGTGTGATTGTGAAAAGAAAAAAGGGGCCAAACAGGGACTATATGTGGGGCCTCCATGTTAGGAGGTGTAAACGATTATAAAAATTGGTAAAACATAATATATAAGATTGAAAATAAACTTCGTGAAAAAGTGAATTTAAAAATTTGAGTTCAAATGGCATATGAGTAAGCAGGCATTGGCTGACCTATGGATCATGCACAATTATTATTATTATTATTATTATTATTATTATTATTATAGCCGTTTTCTTCGTGGCTTACTTTGACGTGCTCATACAAAATGTCAAACAAAATCGAAATATTGTATTATTAATACCATCTAGAAATGCTCACAACTTAGTTTTTCGCTCATTAATGGCACGTGAAACGGCTAATCACAACAAAGTTATAGTGCATCAAATTAAGCCATTTTAAACTAATATTTAGATAATTTTGATAATATGATAACTTTAAAAATTTGCCGACGATCATGCTCCAGCCAAATTCACAAATCGCTTACATCACTTAGAAGCTTGTTTTGATAAATACATCGTAGTCATGCCGAATGGTCCAAAAGGTTATTGAAAATAGTTAAACGTACGTCTCTAAAAAAGACATCTAACTCGTCTTTCTTTATATATTTTTAATTATTTTATTAACGTTTATTATTTTTGCACAAAACAAAATTTTTATAATTTACATCGTTTTACTAGCAAATTTTATATGGAGAAATGATGTAAAAAAATTCAGTATTGTTATAGATTAAATGTAATTTAAATTATTTTCGAATTAAATTTGAATTTCATTTATATCCCAGATTGAATTTGAATTTCATTTTAATTGATTTACTTTCTACATTCAACTTGGTTTACTCGCTGCGAGCTCAATATTTGCCAACAAGGTGGTAAACAAAATTATACAAGTAACAAAATTAATTTGATAATATTGATAATGATATAATTATATAACGTTTTCAAAGCATCAAAATGCATAGACTACAACTATAATAGTATATTGACTTATTTTTATTAATATTATGCTATTTTAAAAAATAAATACATTTTAATTTTTGACCCCAATGGATGCCTTCGCCCCATTGGACTTTCAAATGCCGCTTTTTTCAAATTTAAAATTTAAATTTTTTTTATTTCTTTCCAAATTTATTTGAAATAATTTTTTACATAATTGTGTCTCGCTCCCACTAAACCTTAATCCTAAATCCGTCCCTGTGAGAAAGAATACAAATAAGCACTATTATACGTTTGTGTGTGTATATACAAGTCTTACCCTATCTCATCATGTCCCTCTCTCAATTGAACATGAACTCAAGAGTTTACCCTAAAATTCATATAAAATATATAGCAACTGTTGGGTGTTCCCGCCCATCTCAGCCTAGCTTTGTCCATTATTATCAGGATACTCTAGAATTTCAATTTCTGCCTTTTGACTCTAAATTCAGAATTTATTATTTAACAACTTTAGATGAGGTGAGATGCTCCGTCCTACAAGTAGATTTTTCACCTCTTTTCAAATTTGTCGTTGTATGTGAATTTAATTACATCGGTTCAATGTTCATTCGGGAAAAATCACAATAAAGTTACAAGCTTACCATTGGGGTACAGTTTCTAACTAGAAATCTTCAGTATTAGAACAAATTTAATTAAGGAAGGTGCGCGATAAATAGAGTCACAAGAAAATTAGATCTTCATCTCCTCCATATTCACATTTCACAGGCTAACATAAAGAGTCTCCGCTATTGTGCTTGTAAGATCCAGAAAAAGTAGGCTTAGCAACGCGTTTCACCTCAACCAGAAATTTGAATAGAACAAAATAAATGGTGATTAAGAGGGAAAAAAGTGAAATCTCATCTTTAACCCTGCCCATCATCATCTCCACCTCTCGCCTCTGCTGCAGCTGCCATCAATTCGTCAAATTTATCCGTCTTCCCTAGCGCTACCTCAAGCTATAAACAAACAGTAACGAGACCATCATCAAAGGAAAAATACGTTAAGCATTTGTTATCCGAACCCGGCCACTCCACACACCCAGAAGGGAAAAGGAAGTTGAAAAAAAAAATTTATATATATAGAAATATGAATCAGTGGAAGTCTGGAAGAACGTGTTTTGCACTGATACATCAATGTCGATAAGTGAGTATTTTGCTAACAATTAGATTACAAACTTACTTTAGCTTTTGTGATTTTCCTTCCTCTCATTTCATCTTTAATCTCAACAGTAGACGTCATTATCTCTGCAGGGTGTTCAGAAATCTCCGTTTAATGTGTGAAGAATAACAGGATAACGTGGTTATAAAGGAACATTAATGAATTTGGTGATAATATGATGTAAACTGTAAAGAATAATAAATTGAGAGCTGAGAGCCTCACTTTTCTCAATTGCAAATCCATTATCCTTCAGAATTTCGGCCACACTCACAACTGTTGAAATAGCTGCAAATACAGGAGAGTAATCAATAACACTAAGAAATTACAAAAGCTACTAGTCCAGGGCAGAGACTAAATGAAAAATGAATATATTAAAGATGTAAAATATACAAAAGAAAAGAAAAATTATAGGGCACGGATTAAGCTACAGGTAATCTAAAAGTCGACAACCATAAAAAATAAAGGATTATCATCAAATATGCTTTCAATGGCACAACCTAACTTCTGTAACTCTTGTTCACAAGTTAACAGAACATGAAAAATGGCAAACAGCCCAAGACTGTCACCACCTATTTAAGGCAAAAATACCCTCCTACAAATGCAAGGAGTATAGGCCAGGGTGGAACGAGGATCATCAACGTTTAAAATGTCCCACATGACACCTATAGTAATGAACTTATGGCATATACCCTAATTTCCACCCAAACACACCCAAAATGAATATGAAAATAATTGAGCCATCCTGATTTAGTACACAGCTCCATTTTCATTTGAAACAACCATATTTATCGAATCTATATATCAGGAGACAATGCTCTTTCACCACAAATAACTACATTGAGGGAGTCCAAATAACTAACTGAATGAAACCAAATTTTCTTCATGCACACAGGCAAGTGAATTCGATCGTGAAATAAATAAGGCCATGCCACATGGAAAAATATAGCTCATTATGAAGCTAATCATTTTCTTATTGAGGATGCAAAAAAAGAGTTAAGTCATCTGACACAAAAATGTGTATTTGACACCTAAGGTTTGTAATCCTTGCAGATCCTATTGTTTGGTACTTTGTAAGTATCCACTTTATTGATTTCTTCAACCAATGTGCAATTAAACAGCAGTTAAAACACATATTTAACTCAAATCCAGTAACAAGTAGTGTTTAGCATTTTATTTAAGCATAGCAAAAGTATGAAAAGTATCCAATTTCGAACACGGTACAGACATAAATTTTTATATATCCTTTTAGACCCAATTATGCAAAAAACTGAAACGAATATTTCTTAAATACGCCACACAATCATACACAAATCAGCGCATCAATCAATGTAAAAGGACTGTCGACTACAAGGCCACATTATACCGTATTAATCAACCAAATGCAGCTACAAGTGAAAAACAACTATATTGAATCCGACAACAAAATAACAGTCACAAAGACCAATCTAATGCTTTGTGTGTGTGTGTGTGTGTTGAGATAGAGAGGTGAAACAATACCCATCCCAAGAGCAGAGAGTTCAACCTCGTTGTACTGCTGCATATATCTCTGCGCACATAATTTATAGTACACCAATTACAAATCAAATCAATCAAAACTCAGATTTATATACACGCACACATACGCGTTCATACAAATATTCATACATGTATAGCAAAAAGATAGAGATTTCTCTATTTAAAAAAAAAAAAAAAAGGAAGAAATTGAATCAGAATACCGATACAATTATATTTTACAATCAATAATTACCTTGGCGAGGCCAACGTAAAAGAAGATGGGCCTTTTAGTGTTGGAGACCTGGATTCGGTTTTTCTTGTAAGAATCTCCATTGATATTAATGTTGTTCACTCCATCTGCGATTTCCTCCATTGATTTACCAATTTCAATTACTGATCACCGTTGCAAGTTAACAAATCTATATCCGAATTAATGTGTGTATTTAATGAGAAGGACATCAATTAGGGTTTCTTATTAATTTTTATTAAATTGCATACGAGTCCTCAACTTCTGAATCCTTCTACATTTTCAACTTTAAAAATAACTTTTACCCCTATTTGAGCCTCATTCTTTGAAAAAAAAATACATTTTTAAACGGTACTTTAATATCACTCCAATCACACATTCTTCTATAAAATAATATTACATGCAAATTCAAAACTTTTTCTTATTTTTTAACTACGCATTTCCAATCAATACGCTATTCAAAAATTCATTCTTATAAAAAGAATGGGGCTCAAACAAAAAGTCAAGTCCCAACGCTCAACCTTTCATTTTCCGATGAAATTAGTCCATACTCACTATTTGAGTATTTTCATTGAAAAACATGAAATATTAAAAAGAGTAATGTTATTTAATTTTACTGAGATTACAATTCCAATTTAGGTGGTATTAACGTGACAATAAATGATATGTCATTTAATTTCACTTTTCATAAATCTATTTTTTATCTCTACCTAGACCGGGATTGTAATCCCAGTGGCTGTATAGCATTATTCGATTAAAAATAATCAAGTGACCACAGGTATATTTAAGGGTAACTATGTTCAGATTATTTTTTCAATTACATACTTTTTAAGTTTTGCTTATTTTTACACTTATATTTCCAACTTTTTTATCATATTTTTATTATAAGCTTATATTAATTAGCACATCTTGTCAGCTTATATTATTTGTTCATAATATTATTATATAAGCAAGATAAACAACAAATTCCTATGTTCCTCACAAGTAATAGAATATTTATATAGAAATCGTAATTAGACACACTAATTAATTGAAAGTTAATGATTGCGACAAAAAACATGAAACTTTCATTACAATTTAAAAATATGGTGCTGCTAAAAAAATTAATGTGGATATAATAATCTTATATTTAACTCTCTATAAACCTATTTAGTTGAATAGACAGATTAATCCTCAAATTTGAAAAATAAGAAAAAAAAATATAAAAAAGAAAAAAAAAAGTAGTAGATACCAACTAAAGAAAGAGTTGACTTAAGACCAAAGTTGCTACCCAAGTCAACGTACATCACTGGTCAACCGACTTAGCTAAGATCATCATGGAAGAGCTCAACAAAGTACAAAAGCATTATTGACTATAAAAAATCAAAGATCAGATAATCGAATATGAAAATTTTCACGTTCACCAACCATCAAGAGATGTGTCATCTTACCTAACTCATCAGCTTCTCCACCTATATAACCACTTATCCATTCCATCCCAACTAAGAGACTAACTCGTGTTACTCTTCCAAACTTCTAGCTCATCTACAAAACTAACTTGATCGGTCGTGGTGGAACCAATCACAACCCTACCACCAATAGTTCAGCTCACCAAGCTCTTGTTTAGCAGATTTTCCAATAGTTGCTAGTTCAGCGCCTTGACCAGAAAAAACACGAGTTTCGATCTCAGCATATTGGTACCATATACGGGGAATGGCATAGTTTTCCAAAAATACCATGGTACTATACTAGTAGTAGTACAGTGTTGCTCATTCTGTAAAGCAATCTCCTGGTTTAAAGGCTCTGCTGATGTTTCAACATTCACTGTATATCTCAATGTTATTCCTTGTAACAAACTTCACTAATTCTGCTGCTAAACCAGATCCATTTCAGGATATGCTACAAACTGTCTGCAAATTTACCAGTATTGGATGAGTTGACAGAAGATTATAGGCAGAACATGCAACAAATATACCATGTATTTGATGTTACACTAGAATAATGCTTCTTCTTTCCCCCCTTTTCTCTGTGTTTTCTGGTTTCATGGTACAAATACTGCTTGTTAAGACATTCTTGAATCAAAAATCAATAATGAATAGCCAAATGTCACGACCAGCATGGGATATGATTGATGTGTTCTGCTAAAAACAAAAGAAGAAAAATAGAACTCGGGCAGCAGCACTATCTCCAATCTGAACAAAACAAAGTGAAATTGATAATAGGATTTATGAATTGTTCTTTACTATTTATTCAGATTAATAATATACTACTTGATGAATATGTCGTTGATCAATGTTTAATGAGCCGCCATGCCTCGTATGATGATCATGATTGTGAAACGAGAAGGTTCCTTTCTTCCTCCTCGAATCTTTCTAGCCATCTAAATCTCAGATCACATCCAGATTTGTCAGCTATCTCGAATTGTTCTCTTGCCATTCAACTGGATTAAGTTCGAGGCTTCCAGCATTCTTCCTTGATTTTCTGTTGGAGGATCCTCTTTTTGCATTGAATTTGGTTAGTAATTGAGGAACTGGAACACCTAAAACATTTGTTACAAATTACCAATTCATAAACCTGGAAAAAAAAATTATGAAAGATTAACAAGGACCCCTTGGGGGAAATCGGAAGTAACAAGCTTCAAGGAGAATGAACTGCCACACCATGAAAGAACTAGTAGGTAGCTGTCCTCAATGCATTAAGGACATGTTTTTTACATAGTACTGGATAGGATTAGACATTACGATAAACAAAATTTTTAGCTTTCTTTTTCTTCTTCAATACTAACGAAAGTCCAGTAGCTGAAAACATCTCTAACTTACGTTCTCACTTGAGTGAAATGATTGCATAAAAATTCTCGTAGAATTGAGAATAAAGTTTTCATTCTATACATGTTAGATCATGAATTAGTAACTGCATCCAATTGACCCCCCCCCGGTAGCCCTATTCACTCCTGACTCCTTTATCTGGAAAATTTTGAAATCCATAGAAATGTTACATAACAAACTATGCTATCTAAAACCCCCAGTATTTATTCAAACACCTTTTGAGATTGTAATTAACGATGCATTCGAAGCTACAAAGCATCTCCCTTTCCAACCACATATCCTAAGAAAATATTTATACCAAACACGAGGTTCTATAGAATTTACTTATTATGGATTTTGTAGTTCAAAAACTTAATATTTCTACAAGTAATTCTTCACTAAATTTCCAGAAAAGTAATTTACATTTTCTAATCTTGGCAAAGCATGCTCTTAGTATCACTACAGTTCACCAAGTAAAAGTATCAGAGACTGAAACCAGCAGCAATCACATCTCAACAAGCAGTAGAGAAACACCAGAAAGCCGAGGCTTCATCTTTTTTCAAGCAATCCCCTGTCAAATATACAGCACCAAAAGGTAGACAGCACCTGGATGCATGCAGCTAGAATATAACAAGTTTTGATAAGGTATCACAGCATATGCAGAAAGCATTACAGCATGTGCATGCCTTGCAGGGACATGCCTGGTCAACTGCCTTCTCCAGATAACGGAAAGCTCGCTGATCTGATCGAGCATAGTCATTCTGTCAAAAAATAAAGAGAAGTTTAATAGCAAGACTACAATTATACCAAAACAGTTTCTTTTCTTTTGGAACAGGTCCTGTAAATATATTCCCCATTTTTTTGTACAAACATTTCAAAATTCAAATATTAGTTGAAACTAGTGTATTCTTGGATTGGTTCCTCTTCTTATCTTCCAAAACTTCTTGGTATATTTCCTCCAAATTGAGTTTAAACAGAATATGAGAAAGGGGAACAAATGCTCTGACTCAATTTCTGGGAAATCCAGACAGAAGTTGAGTAGAAAGCTGACATAGGAAGACAAAAGAGCAGGTATGTTGCAGAAAAGGAGGCCCCTCTAGAAAGCCTGAGAAGAATTCTTTTAGTAGCACTAAAATTCATTCACTACTTGGGTAATAGATTGAAATTGAAAGTTGAAACAAAATCAATCCTAGCCAGGGTTTCTATATTGTTCCATTCATTAAGATGTCTAACCTCAACTCTTAGGCGGCAACCGACCTCATACTGTGCATCTGGATCACCGTCTCAGAGGCTTCCACTGATAAAGCAGCCCCTCTATCAGGATGAACAATAAAAGGGAAATGTAAGTTCGAGTCTACAATAAATAATAACAGGTACATAGTAAAGATAATCCACTTGTCATATGGCTAGCAAAGAAAGATAATTCTAGCACATGATGATAGGTAGAAATAGCAATCAGAACTGAAACTTCAACATCAACTTCAATGGGAAAATAAAAAATGAAAACAAGACTAAATAGTCCTCATTCTGAAGACAATTCAGACCATTTTATGATGAAATGATGTAATAATCTCAAACAGCAGATGACCAGGACCGATGCAAAATGAACTCAAAAAAGGAAAGAAATGATTCCTTGCACAGCTTTACGTGCACCAGATACCTAAGAAGCACGGATACGGATACGGATACGTCGATATGACTTTTTTTTTTAAAATCTAGGATACGCCAATACATGTTATAAAATTCAACATAATTTTATTAACATAAAAACATTAATTTGGAAGCATGATAATAAAAATAAAATAAAATACTAAAACACTTTATCTTAATCATTAATTGTCGAAACTTCATTTTCTTTAATATCATCAACATTAATTTCTTCATTACCATTAAAAAATACATTATCCAACTCTGACTCATCTATAATAGATTAGCAATTTCAAGTAGTCCAACACCTTCGAGAGTATCAAATAAGTTTCCGACAATGTCCCGCATTTTGGATTCTCTTTTTGAATATAGATTTAATTTTCTTAATAAAAGACGCAAATTACTATGAATGTAATCCAATTATTCAACTAGTTGTACAGTTGTTTTATTCTTTCTCGTAAAATGCACAAAAGAGTGCATATTCCAATTTCTTTGAGCACTAGATGAAGAAGAAAGTTATACAAGAAGTTTCAAAGCAACGTTTTGTTATAAAGGTGCATGTAAACCATGAAGTATCGGATACGTATCGAAAATTATACAAAAATATAAAATAATTAAAAAACGTATCGAATACGTATTGAAATTTTAAAAAATATATATAAAAACATATGAAATAATTAAAAACAAGTACCCGGTATGTATCTGAGGACATCAAAGAGTATCGGAGCTTGGATACGTATTGGATATGGGTACATAACAAATTTACAGGAATAGCCAGGTACATGGTATTTCATATGTAGTTTGGACAACCAATATCTAGCATTGAGTGTTTGAGTTGTCAGCTTTAAGGGCCAATTCAAAGTTCTCCATTGCTGTCTAATGCAACATCCACCAACAGAAAGGAAGTTACTCCAATCATCATGATTTTGTTGAATTAAAATTTAGATTCACAAACGACAACGCGAAACAATGCATACCACCAGTTCAAAAACTAGTTCATAGTCTTCTTCTTCTCCCCCCCCCCCCCCCCCCCCCTCTCTTTTTGGTGAAAAGTGAAAAAAAAATTGTAGGGACGTAACAGAAAGCCTTAATTGGAGACGAGTATTATAGATACCGGCTGTGTTTCTCTTGAGGGTATTCCTGTTCTGCAGTGCGTTGCATATATGTATACAAAAGCTAGGCCACACAATTCTCTCCATAACAAATACAAATAAAAGGCACTTAGAGATGCTGTAAAGATATCGAGGTAAAAAAAATAAAGATATATATTTACTCTAAGGTGTACGCGATACATACATGTTCCACATTTCGCGTTATGTAATAGTCTAGGACACATCAACTATGAGTTATAATTTCATTTTTCCTCAGCATCATATAGTCCAACATGCCAAACATTACATTATAGTACAACAACAAAAAATAATAAAAAATAAAAATAAAAATAAAGAAACAACAACAACCAATTCAAAATGTTTCGACAAAAACGAAATGACCAATNAAAAAATAATAAAAAATAAAAATAAAAATAAAGAAACAACAACAACCAATTCAAAATGTTTCGACAAAAACGAAATGACCAATGGTAAGTATGGAAAATCTAGGTTTATTCCATAACAAACTTTTGATACAATCACAGGATGTACAATGAATCCATTACTTCAACGGTCGATATGCTCTCCCTTTACCAGAAATTTAACACAGTATACGGTTGTAACTATATGCAGCACTACGTCTAGGAAGCAAAACAAACGTGGTAATCTTGTCTAGCACCTACAGGCACATGCTAACATCCTTTTCCCTACAAGAACAGCCTTCAACATTGATGGCCTCCTTGGGCTCATGTATAATTACGATCTTCATGCATTAAGTACCTGGCTGTGAACAATGAGACTTTTGAAGCGGGTACCCGCGAGGTTTGACAAAAAATTCGTCACTAAAGTCTTGAAATGCCCTTTCCCTGCGATAGTTTCCCACAGATGCTCATCAGTCGAGCTGCTACCATGGTCTGATTTCGAAACGTCGACCAGCGATATACTCATGTTGTTTCGAATAATGCATAACTTCCCGTTGAGAGGGAGAAGTGCAACAGCCTCTAAAGCCTTTGAGTTCCCTAAATGCATTTTACTGTCAATCTGTTTGCTCCAAGAACCAGTCGATTCATCGTATACTCGAAGTCTGCAGCCATCTTTGCAATCCAACGCATAGAGATGACCATTAACTGTAGTACTTGGGCTCCTCCAACCTGCAACCAGACCATCATAGATGGTGCACCAGCTATCGGTTTCAGGTTGGTAGACCTCACTCAAAACCTGTCGGTGAGAACCTCTGCCCTTCAAGAACCACTTACCTTCGTAAACGACCCCTACAAAAGGTACCATTGCAGTGCTCATATCAGAAATGAAGGACCACCTGTTCTTGTTAGGATCATAAACTTCAGCTGATCTTAGAGACCGGTGGCCACGCTCATTCTCCCCACCAGCTACATACAAACAGTTGTTTATAACACAACAGCCAAAAGATTGTCGCCTCCGAAGCATATCAGGGGCTCGATGCCATTTATTAGTGCGCGCACTATAAAAAACGACTCTCCTCATTGAACCTTTCTCTGGATCTCGGCCACCAAACAAATAGAGGTGACAACCGCTAAGGACAGCACACCCGAAACCATGGGCTTCAGAATATTCTTTGGGGACAGGAGGAAGAGGCTGCCAAAGCTGGTATATGGGGTCAAAGGCGTGCCATGATATTTTTCCATCTCGGTCTTTCTTCATAACATATATCCATTCCTCTGTAATTCCAAGATTCCTCCGGAGTGAGTAAAAATAATTACCTGCCAAAAGACGACCCCATCTCTTGCAGACTAACCGAAGCTTTCGATGCTCATTTCTCGGAACACGGATCAAGCAAGCAATGGCAAGATCATCTGGAAGTCCAGGAAGCAGAGGGGATTGACTCGTGTTTCTGTCACGTGGTGGCTTCTGTCTAGTGGGATGAATAGAAGGTTTGATGTCAGGTTGAAGACAAAGCTTTGTACCTGGCACATACTTTTTAGCTCCAGCTACGGTTTTGAGGCCTGCATCTACCCGACAAAGGCATGCTGTTGTGTCTACCTGCAAGTGAGTAAGATTACCATTGAAGTATTGTATCTTACAAAAACAATTACTAGCCGAATTGTTTGATGCTAGAGCATTGACGATACCACATCAGGCTAACACGTTGTGGACCCAGAACAACAACAAACTACAATATCAGCCTTACTCGTGATATATTTAGTTTCGGCTATCATTGAAGAAGGAAAAAGATTGGAAAATAGGGGGAAAAAGGAAAAGAGAAACCAATTTGAGTTACACAAGCACGCACCCATTGGTTTTGCATAATTACTACTACAGAAATCTGCCATTATGAAGTGAAAAATTCCAATCCACCCTAAACTAGAAAGTAATGGCTAAAAGAAGACACCCTAGTTCAGTCAGACAGAATTTTTTGTTTTTTATTTTTCCTGTATCTGAGTCTACATAGCTAGAACTTTGCTGATTGTGCTTGGAGAACATGATAAGATTATACTGCCTACATCAGCAGTGAATGTCCTCAATTCCTTTAGACAACATTCACAGAGGATGTCCTCCTTCTAAGAATAGCCATGTACTACCAGAAAAACCTCACTTAGACCGCAAGATGAAGATCTTGGCTGCAGACTTAAGGGTAAATATAAAAGGCAAAACCAAATACCCATTTTATGCCACCATTTGGCCCCCATTAATTTCTATTCCATTACATTTTATTTTTCTCTCTCTTATTTTCAACCACACAATCTTCCATAAAATAATATTACACGTAAACCGATAAAATTTTCCTTCTTTTTCACCACTCATTTTTCAAGAAAATACTATTTCACCCATTTTCATTTCCAAAAAATGGGGCCCAAACGGGGGCTATATCTCTTAACCAAAATTTGATGCCATGCCAAATCATCTGAAGAAATTCTAATGTGGATGGAATATAGCATGTGATCATTATTGGAATAAATAAATCTTATTGTTATAACATCAGCAAGAATTTACTTACTTGCCGACGAGACTTCATTAGAATCCCAAATATTACAAGTAACACAACTTAATGGAAAAAGTATTTTATGTGTCGTTGTTCCCTAGTTGCCCATAGCTCCCATTGCTGTGTTGAAAATAGACAATTAACCTCTAGCGTTTCTTGAGATACAACTAAAAGCACCAAGTTATTAACTTAATGACATTATTATTTTTTAACTTGTTATGTGAAAAACATATTCGTTAATCCAGAAAACAAATTTGTAGTTCTTTTCAACTCTCACCTCTCTTCTCACTGCAATCCTACAGCTTTGCCACATTGTTTCTTAAATCACATCCTGTAAATGCTACTAGAACTGGAATACTTTAAGAAAGACATTCAGGGAAAAAAAAATATGTATATACTTTTAAATCTAAGCAACCAATTGATTTTCTTCGACTTTCATAGATAGCACAATTTCTATCTTGATATATATTTTCGGCTGGTCTATATTACTCAAATAGTCAAATGTTTAAGGTCACACTCCATGACACATTCTGTTATTTCCCGATGAGGGAAATCCACTGATGTGTTGTTATGAGATTTAGCTTCTTAACTCCTCCATCCTTGGTTGATTATTGGCAGATGTCCATATATGGCTCCTGTAGCCTATTTTAGTCCAATGTTTTAGAAGGCATTTATGAAGCTTAACTCAGGGCTTGATTCGTGAGAATGGGATTAAAGCATGCTGCTTGATTAGGGGTGCCTTGATGTTAGCATCAAGCAACTTTTGGGGTGGCTCAATTATGTGACATGATGTTACATTAGCTAAATTTTCTTCCAATTGTTCTATTCAGCATAAAAATGCATAACCAAAAGGCATGCACCACATGCGAAGGCCTTTGATTCAAAATGCCTAACAATGCAAAAAAGCACCATGAAGGTAATGACGCATTCTCCTTTAGCCTCATAAAAACACAGTTTCAGAGAATTTTAGTGAAGAAAAGAAATGCTCATAAGGAAAACCGACCTACTGAAATGGCATGAGTAGCCGGATTTTGGAGAACCACTGAGGGTTATTATTGTATTTCTATGTAACAGGGCTCGAGGGGTAACCAATAGCATAAGAAAACAACAGAGGATAAAATGCTTTTTGCCATGGAAGAGAGGAATTATAACCAGGCATAATCGAACTTTAAAATGATTTTACCACATTTTGGACATTCGGCTTCACTTAGCACCGTAGGTACTTAAATGCAAATCTACTTTGGTGAAAGTTTTTGATAAACTCTACTTCAACGATCCAATTTCGTATATTCAGTCTTTTATATAACCACGCCTAGGGTAATTCAGTCAACAAACAACTCAAAAGTTAAACCATAAAGAACTTTTCACTGAGATCATAAATAAAAATAATTAACTACAGAGCCCCCACAAAGTCTTGAAATCAAAAGGAAGAAAGACATTTATCTTTCAATGCCTCTCCCGTGGAATGGTTCCTTGAACCACATGTAGCAATGATTAGTAACTTGAACCAAAACTAGGTTTAAAATTTTACTCACTTATGATAAAAGTTTATGAGAATAAAAAAAGAAAAACAGAAGAAAACATAGAATAGATTAAAGTTGACAACTGAAGCAAGAAATGGGACAGAGTTTGATATTTAGCAGAAAGTCATTATTTCAAATAAAGATGAAAGATGATTTAGCAGACATGTTAGTATTCTACTAGATATTACAAACAAGAAAATGTGAAATTCCCCGTGTCTAAATTTAATTTCAGGGTGGCAACCATGGTTCCACACTGTCAGCCCTCACAGAAGATTTAGCAGAATGTTATTATTTCTACAGGATATTATGAATCTGAAGAGGTGATATTCCCCTCATCTAATTTAGTTTCTGGATGGCAACTAAGGTTAGACAACATCAACCCTCATTGATAACTATATGGTCTATCTTTGGCTCACGTTTATAAACAATTTTCTAAATACTCAAGCCACTTTTCAAGGGACCTAAAATACACCCACTTATTTCCCACTTGTTTCTATCTATTTATAGTTTAAACTGTTTATAAACATTTCCCAGAATGCTTTTGCTTAAATGCTTAAATTAAATTTCAACTTATGGCTATCAGCCTCTAGTGGCTAATAAAATTGATCGATGTGTTTGCTTGTCATCATCATAGCAATCACAATTCAATGCATGTGTTCCAATCAACATATTTTGATAAAAGAAGATTGGAATTGAATATAGTCATGGATTTGCTATCCTTGGTTGAAGATCCTCCAATGGAAAAAGCAACATAACTTAAAGTCTTTACCCAGGATCCCCTGCTTCGTTAGTATGATACTCCCTCAAATTTGTAAGGGAATTCACAAAAAAGCATGCAATAATAAATAACATAGGAAAGTAAAGGTTGATTCACTCATCACATTACACTGGTCACAACTTGCCTTCGTCCATGTCCTGAACAACCCTGATGACAGTTATTTCCTCGATCTATACTAATCTTCTTTGAAAGAAATTGTACATTTATTTTCACAGCTTATCAAAACAAATTTGCGCCTCAATGCGCTAAATGACAAGTATATAAAATCAATTGATTTCAGTTACATAGATATTCATGTTCCCATAACATGCTAGCATGGTTATGTACTATACTCTTTCAATTTCACCAAACTTCACACTATCAACATAAGAGACATAGAAGCACTATAAATCTATTCATCTATAATTTAAAAAATTAAATACATTTAATCAATAAATTTTTTTTGAAAGGTAAAACACATTTTATCAATATTAAGAATGCAATTTTCTTATTAGAATAAGTTCGAAACACTGAAGAATATACAATTCTGATATGCAAACCCTCATTACAGTATCAATTTATAGTACTTAAATCAGAACAAGAAACATAAAAATGTTCAAAGAAGAAATTGAAAATATCAGATACTTACCAAGGGAGGCTGAATTCTGTCCATTCTTGACAATTAAAGTACTCGCCAATTCCAAATTTGCCTCACTTCAGAGCTGAACTGGGAAAGTTAATTCATATCTCCCAATCATCAGATCCCACAAGCAACTTTATGCTACCAAATGCACAAATTAACAATGAATCAACATATGAAATTCACCAATTACATAAAAAGATTAATATCTGAAAGAAGAAATTCTTACCTTAAGAAAATCAAACTGATATTCAGACACGCTTCATTTCGATGAAGAAAAACGAATATAAAACAAAAAACCCACCACCAAAAACTTGAAGATCAACTCAAAGTACAGTCTGAAACTGTTAAGAGGTTTTCCAGAAATGTCCGCGATAGAGTAAATGCTTCTACGAATGAATGGATCGTATTGACTTGGAAAATGGAAAGATTTGTACAAGTTATACGTTTGGTCACCACCACCCCTTTGTGGAAAATAGGTAGGTATGAATATGTGGTAAACAAATTGAATCCAGAAGCAACATCAGGAACCCACAAGGAGAAACTTGATTAATTTGAATTGTCAAGGATTATAGAGAAAGGGAGAAAAAAAATTGAAAACCCACAAATGTCTTATCCTGGGAAAGAAACCCTTAAAACCCCAAATTGCGAGACAGCAAGAAAATGGGGGCAGAAGAGAAAAGCACTGAAGAAAGAGAGATACCCCTCTCAATTCTCATTCAACTCTCTTTCACCATTAAAACTCAGTGGAAAATTGGGCCCATCAAAAACCCATTAGCACAATAAACCAAGCAAAAGAGTGTGTTCAACAAAAGACCAAAGAACGGAGCAAAAAAGCAAACCTTAACCATTAATTGCAGCAAAATAAAGTAGTTTTGAATTTAAAA